TAAATCTATGTAATTGCAAAAGTAATTTCAAGAATCTTAATAAAGTACTAGCATGACTGCTTAAGGTTAAAAAAAAATAAAAATAAAAATAAAAGATATTTCAGTTAATTTGAGATAGATAAATTTATTAAGTAAAGTCTAATTAAAAACAGAAAAAACCTAATTTAGAGAAATACTTTAAAGCATACAAGTTGAAGAATAAAATGTAAAATTATCAAATTTTTAGTATAAAAAAAACAATAAATTTGTTACAAAATATAATCTGATTAAGATAAACTCCTGGGTTACAATTACTCGCCTTAACATTAAATAAAAAAAACTAAAAAGTTTCTAACAGTTGCAATTAGTATAACATAAAATAGATTTTATAATAATATATGAAAAAGATGATACACAGTTTTTGTTCTATAAGAAAAGATACAGAAATTAATATGAAAGCCAAAAAAAAACAAAAAAAAATATCAACAGAAGATGAAATATAACTAATTTTAGAAAGAGTTCTAGTAAAATAAAAAAAACCAAGTTATAGTAAAGACATATATATATAAAAGTAATTCAAAAATGAAATGTTTAATAAGAGCTGTTTGATTATTAATTCATTTGTCCATCCAAGTACCAAAAATCCAGAATAACGCGTTTGATTATCGAAAATCTCCTTATATACCGTTGAAATTGCTGGTGTCGGATCCGATTTTATGCTAGAAGAAGATCCACTTTCACAATAATAGCTAGGCAAAAAAGGACTTTCGGAGTAGTTAATAATAACTGTCAAAAAATTCACGTTCTCTTAAAATTAATTTAGTCTTTTGAATAGGAAAATATACTTCCTTTTTTTATTAATACTAGAAAGTTGCCACCAATATCGTGAATAGGCATCATAATGAACGTAACAGAAAGTTTTGTCATTTTTTTTTGAACAAAACCGAACTTTGCAGATTCGTGATATTACAATATTGCTAATATACTTATCTCTAGATTCTACATATACTAAGCATAATTTTATAAATCATCAATATTTTTATTTATAGTGCAAATCATGTGATTGGACGAACAGAAAATTCAGAATTACATTTTTAACCGTTTTTTTTTAAATTTTAGATGATTAATCGTTTAATGATCGCGTTTAACGCCTCATATAGAGGCAAAAAGAAATATGCGCATGGTAAATAGCATATACTGTACATATATATACTTATAATAAAGATTATTAATCAGATTTTATTCACAGGACAAATGTGTATCAAAAAAACAGGCCGCATAAACTTATATAATCCTGATACCTTCTGAAAGTTCGTTGCTTTGTGGTATCGGCACAAAATTTCATAAGCACAAGTTGTTTTAAAAGCACTGGGTAATTATCGGTAATATGTAATGCGACGTATAATTAATTGGTAAAATTGATCAATAACGTTTAAATGATTTAAACGGATGAACGATTAAACGATTACAGTTGTTATCAGAAGTTCTGGGACACCTGGCAAAAATTAGTCGAATGATTTTTCGGCTGATCCGGATAAGTAATTAATTTCGGTATAATGATAACATAGACGGGGTAAAATCGTCACATGACTAAGATATCGAGCACTAAAAATTTACAAAAAACACAAACAAAAATTCAGACTAACAAAATAATATCGATAAGCAATAAATTAATTATTTCGAATAACTCAATAAACGTACAACCAGAAAGTATTATGATTAATGGTTTTTCAAAGTATTTGGAATATTCCATTGCCTTTTAAAACGAGTATAATCCAATTTACACAACGACAAAATTTTTATTAATACTTCAACAATTATAAAAACCTTTTTACTCAAATAAATAATCAGCGTTATAATCTTTCGAAAGAGCATTAAAAATAAAAATCTACAAGGTTTTCTGATGCAATTGCATTTTCTTTATTAGTTTTTATAATTTTATTTCGATTTTCATTCTTTTCTCGTTCAATCGCTTTTCACTTTGAAGAAAAAAATTTACTTACTATAAACTATGTTGATCCTAATCATGATGATTTGACAATATCACATGATTTTCGAAACTTTTTTGGGAGGCCGGTCCATATTATCATACGTACTGCCGAAATTAATTACTTATCCGGATCGGCCGAAAAATCATTCGGCTAATTTTATGATAACAGCTGTAAATAATAAATTTTAAAAGATTAAACGGGTAAACTATTAAATAATAAACCAAACGATTAATAAACGGTCAAACGATTATTCATCATGTAGCTTATAGTTAAGCAATGCTATTAACCGCTAGCACAATTTTCACGATTCCAAACCATACCTAAATCTTATCCTAAAAGTATGTGAATCTTGTGAACAACTTGTGCACTATGTGATTTTGTTAAGTAATTAAATTTATAGGTAAGTTATGTGCACATCATTGGCATTTATTAATAATTATGGTGCACATTTCTATTCAAAAACATATGAAACTTTTTAAAAGCATGTGCTCTGAGCACATTGCGCACATAGATTTTACTGCCCAAGATACCCTGAATAGAGTCACTAAATTTCGGTTAAACCCATTATTTGATTTTTTTTGATTGTTCTGACGAATTATTGGAGTGATTGTTTTGATTTAATGAGAGTCTATTCTGCATCAAACCCATAAGATTATCGTTTAACTTATTGGCCTGGACTGACTGACTGAATCTTTAAAAAAAAAAAACCTTTCGCTAGGGATGTTAATCAGTCCGTCCGGTCCGATCCTTCAAGGATCAATAGGGATTCAATCCTTAAATCACATGAAAATACAATACATTTTATAAAACTTAGATTCTGAATTGAATTATTAAATCAATTTGATTGGATGGACTTGTTCGATGGATTCAATTCAGGATCTGATACAGGATCTAAGTCCTATAAAATGTATTGTGATTTAAGGACTGAATCCAGGATCGTCATTTCGGATTTGCAATTTAACATTCCTACCTTTCGCCACAGTCTTTCAGACAATTGTATTGTCAAATAATCTGTATAGCTACTAAAATATTTTGAGTTACTGAGCTTTGCAAAAATACCGTTCCTGATAGGGTAAAAACAACATACTATTCTGATAGGGTTCTAAAAAAAGGCTTCTACAATACTATATGTACTACTATAGTGAAGTACTGTATATGAAAAAAGTTAAGATTAGAGTTCATTTTTAAAACCCTATCAGGAACAATTCTCAAATAAATTTTCTATTTTTACCTTCTGCATAGGATATTGGCCCATATGATTTTTGTTGTTCCATTATGCCTTTTTTGATACATATAATCAAAGAGGTACGCAAGATATACGTACAATCATTGTTGTCCTAATCCAGTAATTTAAATAGAACCCCAATTTAGATTGTAATAACGTGATTATTGCGATCGTGCGCATATCGCATAATTCTGGGTACCATAGTGCCCGGAAATTTTCTCTTAAGATAATCACATGATATTAAGTCAGACGACTTCTTTAATTGGGAGGTAAATGAGTTCAAAAAAGTTCATAACATAGTACAGTCAATACTGTCTAAATGAATGCCGTCGGAAAAGACAAAAAAAAAGAATAATTTTAACAACTATTCATTTATGTAGACAGTATGCAGTATGCATTTAGACGGTATCACTTGTACAATATAGAAGCTTATAAATAAGAAATTTTTTAAAAAATTGTTAAGTTATAACCAATTCATTTCAAAAATGAAATTACTATCAAAATTTGAAACATTACCTCGTTTAAAACTTATTAAAATTGCAATATTCTTGTCAATTCTTACAATTTTATGGAGTTTAGCTGAAGGTGTAATCTCGGTTTTTTTCGGTACAGAAAATGAATCAGTCAGTTTAATTTTTTTTGGTATTGATTCTTTAGTTGAAGTTACTTCTTCAAGTGTGGTGTTATGGAGGTTTTTGAAAAAAGAGTCAAGCGTTCAAAAAGAAAATACTGAGAATAACTTAATATCTGTTGAAAAAAACTCAACCATTGTAATTGGCATATTGTTTGTTATACTCGCAATTGGAACATTTACGGACGCAATTATTACTCTGGCGAAGAATGGAAAACCTAATACATCTATATCAGGTTTAATCATTTCATCTGTCACAATAAGTTTCATGATAATTCTTTGGTTCGTGAAATTTTCAATTGCCAAACAACTTAATTCTTCAGCAATGATGTCTGATGCGAAGTGTAGTCTATCATGTATACAGATTGCTTTTATTTTATTTCTTGGTAGTCTGATTTACTCTGTTTGGAGAAATGGTTGGTGGGTAGATTCTGCTGCTGCTTTAATTTTAGGGTTATTGTTTGCAAAAGAAGGTATAGGAATGATTCTATGGGCAATGAGTAAAGATTTCGATGGTGGCTGTTGTAAAAATAATTCCATCAAAAATAATAATTGCGATTCTGATTCTAATTGTCATAATGATTGTAATAACAAAGAATGTAAAATCACAGTAATATCTGAGAATATTGTCGACAAAGACAACGTTAAAGAGGAAGGTTAATAATATTAATGATCAGAGGTTCAGACATTTTGAGGTAATGAAGTAACGACTTTAACGTAGATCGTAATATAAGTAGTAATATAATAATAGCAAAATTTTGAAAATTTAAAATTTGCAAATACGTATTACGTAGCAAATTATAAGCACGATAAACAGTACGTAATTCTAAAATGCACCTATGGTGTTTAAAATTGTATATACGTATGTATTTATTATACAATATATAATAAATATAATAAGAAATATATATATAGTATTGAGCACCATTGGCATATTTTAGATTTGCCGACTATGTATAAATATTATTAAAAATTACATTTGATAGCATATACTGTTAAACAGTTTGTAGTATGTAGATCAACCCAAATCTGAAAAGATCGTTACCGGATACCGATCGATACCGATATTTAATTGTGGAGTCAATTATAGTAATTGCGCAGCCACAATTAATCAATTAATTGCAAAAATATCGATATATTTTACTGATCTTGATGTCAAAAAATTGCAACCGATTCCTTTTAGCAACTTGCACACTTTTTTAACCTAAAGATGATAAAATTTACTCTCAGACCCGTTCCGACAGAGTGACTTAGGAACTTGAGAACACTCTATGATTATCAATATGGGAGTTTGATTTTAAATAAAGTACCATATTCTATCGTAAATGAACCATCCTCTCTACCTCATTTTTTAAATGTCAAATTAGTGGAAATCACAATGAGATATTTAGCAAAGTTATTTCCGCTAATCCGACATTTAAAAAAATGTGGTAGAGGAGACAGTGCTTATTTACGGTAGAATACGGTAGATGAAATCATTTTTTTAGAAGATGCATCCTATATATTAGTGGTTTTTAATTTCTCTATCATTTTTTAATTTTACTACTTTAGAGCTTTAAGGTACAAACTTTTATGATTGACTTCAGCAAACCACACCATATATTTTCCTTGGGTTCCTAACATCAAATTAAAATATAGCAAAATTTTTTTTATTCCAATTTGTTAATTACATATTTCAATAACTTAATATATACCAAGAAATAGCTTTATGTCTCGGTCCTAACTTCTCTACAACAACCGACTTATCACCCGCCTTTGGATCACTCCATAAAAGTCTAGGGGGGTCACTACATTATTTTTTAGAGCGTCATAGAGATATATATCAGGATTGGTCATGAGGTTCTAAATAAAAGAACGCCCATAAGTTTTGAATTAAATAAAATTTTTACAGATTACTAAATACTTACGCTGAGCTTAGACTTCATTGTGTTGAAATATTTCTCTGTTTCTTTTCGTGTCGTATCGGGGATATCCTCCACATTCCAAAGGAAAAAAAAGATTGGTCCGTACGATTCACCAAATAGACAGAATTATTAAAAAATTTAATATGAATTATATAATATAGTATCATATTCAAAACTTTCATCGCCTTTAAGCTTTTGTAACCAATATCCACGCACAACTGGGGGGAGCGGTACCCTCGACAAATCGAGGCGTCCCTAAAGAAGTCGCTCTTCCGGGTCGGCATTCCAAACCTTCAGTAATGACCAACCATTACAGCTGTTATCATTATTCCTGGGACACCTTGTGAAAATTAACCGAGTGATTATTCTGCCGATTCGATAAGTTATTGATTTCGGCATGATCAATGTAACGTTTATTATTTACAAAGGTGGTCTAAAACCAGGTACGTACGTACGTATATGCTAATCGATTTGCAGTGACAATTACATATTAATCGATAATGACCAGATAACCAATATCGATATAACTATTATAATTTCGAAGCACATTCTGTCGAAAAAATTTAGGAGGGTTATAAATTCGAACAACTGCTAAACACTTAAGTGTTAGCAGACCTTCAATAAGTCAAGTTTTTCAACAATGTTAAACGGGACCTTTATTTCATTTTCTGATTTTAAAATTTTGAAATACAATTAAGATTTTTCAAACTCTTATTTACTTTCAAAATGCGCCACTCATTTGCTAACGTTGAAAGACTTCCGCCACTTGTAAGTAATCACCTAATTGATATTTGTATGAGTTACGATTAGAAATAATCCAAATTTTTAGCATGTAGTAATTATAAATAGTAATTATGATAGTATAATAATAATTTCATCTAAGCAAATTACCTCGATTTTTGAACGGTATTAATTGTTAATTTTCACACCTTTAGAAGGAGGATCAGAATTTAAAGTCTCCTCTTTAGAAGAATCTTTATCATTGACAACAACGAAATGATAAGCGATAATTAAAGCCATTATAATAGCACCTAAAGAGTTACATAGAGATGCCAGTGTGGTATCTTCCATTTTTTAGTTTACAAGAGAATTATTAATTAGAAAATTCGAAATTAGTTTTAAATATAAGTGGCAAATTACCATTGGTGCAATGTTGACACAGTAGGGGAAAGGTACCAGTTAGGATTACTTTTTTGATGCAGTTAGAGTTATCAGGTTATGTAGATATCAATAATACAATTTATGCAGTATGTAGATCATTATATGACTTTATATCTTTTTCACGAGGCTTGTGTAGCCAATTCTCCCCGAGTCCAAAGTCAAACCTGAATCCACCAACTTTTATATGACGATTTTTTACCCTTCGAAGATGTGTAAGTAAGTAATTTATAAAACACTAAACTACAAATTCCAGACGTTGAGCAATAAAACCAATAAAAAAAAGTTAGAAGTACGATTTAATAAAGTAGCGTGTTAGTTCATATGATCTTTTTTCTATACGTTTTATAAAAAGTTTTTAAAAGCTCAACTATGTATTTTTTTATATCTTTTTATATAAGATAGAAACGAAAATATGTATACGTATAAAACTTTAGAATTTTTATTAGAACAACTGTCATATTACTGTAATAGAGATTTTAGATTATTAAAAAGATCGCGACGCCTGAGTTGTAGATTTCTAGATGATATACGAAAGATTATTTAGATAATTCAATGTGAATTCGTCAATTAGTTATTAAGTTGCGTATTAAATATGGTGCCGGAAGTCTATACTCAACGGTTATACAAAGTGTTTCAATTTTTTAAATGGCTATAACTTTTTATTAAAAAAATCAGACCAATAACTATATCAGTTTTACATCTGTGCCAAATATCTTTTCAAAATGCATTGACTCTTTACAATGATCAGATTTTGAAAAGATATTTGACACATATGTAAAACTGATATAGTTCTATAAAGTTACTGGTCTGATTTTTTTAATAAAAAGTTATAGTTGTTTAAAAAATTAAAATACTTTATGTAACCATTGAGTATAAATTTTTTTTTTTTTTTAAATATTAATGATGAGGTCATGCTTTTAACTTTATTGAAATTCAATTAAAGTTTTTACAAAGAAAAGCTTGTTTTTAAATTATATATGAAGAATAAAGACTCAGACATATAATCTGCAACTTAAACTTACAAGAGTGGCCAAAGTTCATCTAGATTTGGGTGTTGGTAATAATATATGAGAGAGGAGTATGATATTTAATCCATTAGATAGTTCAAAGATCAATTTTAGTAATAATTTGTGGTATTGAGATAGAAGGTAATAGTAAACTAGAAAGAGAATTATGAATTGAGTTTGTAGAAAATTCATTGAGTATAGACTTTTAGTAATATAAACAAAATAATAATATGCTTATTTACTTTACAAAAAATATAATATTTTTGAATTATTTGATTGGTTGACCAACATGTTACAATTTATGAACCTTATATAATATTGAATAGTTTCTTCAAAAAACAAAGTTAATTCAATATATAATCTTCATGTTTTATAACTTATTTAATATTTTATATAATCTACTAATTCTAATTATATTAAATAAATAACTCTAAAATTTGTATTATTTTAGTCTATTATTCAAATAAGGTAATCAGTTTAAATTAAATTTATGTAATTTATAAATCATAGGTAGAAGTTTATTTAATTAGCTAATAAATTTAATTTAATTTTATATTATTTATATAGTTTAGTATATTTTTTAAAAAAATAAAAATAGAGTATAGTAACTTAAAGTAATTAGTAAATTGTTAATCTTCAAGTAATAAATCCAATATTCAAAACTTATCTACAATAAAATTTGGATATTATATTTGTATTATAGTAACAGTTTCTTATTAATTAGTTAGATTTATATATTTGTAATCTTAAGTGCACCAAGTCAGATTCTATTCATTATTAGAAACTTGAAATATTTATATAAAATGTAATGTTATATGTATATAAAAGAATGTTAATATGTATAACTAATGTTGTATAAGACTTTAATGCAAATCTATGATAAGATTATTAGATACAAAAAACTAAAAAATTAAGAAAATAGAAATTATAAAAATTAAGAAATAGAAATCATTTAAAAATTTTTAAATTAAAAAATAAAACAATTTTTTAATAGTACTATTGAACTAATAGAAGTTTATAAATATCTTTTAAAGGGGTGTGGCAACCTAGTGAAGTGGTCAGGTTGTCAACCCCCAAGTGGCAGGTCTAGAGTTCAAATCTTATGAATGACGAATTTTGGAAAATAGGTCTGTGTTATGGTAACTGTTTTTGTTGATCAATTAGATTAGTGTATCTGTAACCTTTGTTGCACTATCTTGAATGGGAGCTCGAGGCATCTATACTAAGTATAATGTTATATTTACATAGAGGAATGTTAATAACCGATGTTGCATAAAACTTCAGTGCAAATCCACAATAAGATCATCAGGTGCAGAAAGCAAAGAAACTGAAGAGTTAGAAACCTACTTAAAAATCCTGAATAAGAAGATAGCACAAAACTTTCAACAGTGCTGTCAAACTGATAGAAGCTCATGAAACACTCCCAAAGAGATAGGTGAATAAACTGGATGACAAGATGTATAGAGGAGCATATGACCAACCAGGCTGCTAAATTACTGGAGGAAAAGGATACTAAGGTATACCATACCAGGCCATCTGAATTGGAAGTCTGAGGAGTCCTGTAGGTCCTAAGTAGCAGTTAGTAGAGGACGATAAAGAGAACGTCAAAAAGATGGGTACCAGGATTTTGGGTGAACCTTACAAGAGTAAAAGTGGTTTAATGGTTAGCCCTGACTGCAAGTAATGGTTTAGGCCAAAGCGTGACTAGGTGAGCTGTAAGTATGAAATACAGAACACACTGGTAGGTTTAGTACAAAGTTAAATATGACTTAGTAACTATGACATATCTTTATCAGTTTACCGAGTTGCTAGTAGGATGTGGTGGATGCAGAATTAGAGTATTTAAATAGAGGATCTATAGGTGGATTCTAGATATAGCAACTAGTGTAGAACCTTTAGGCAGACTATTTAAATTAGACAATGACTAAAGTTGTATGAGTGGCTAGTTGTACATTCTTTCTGTAATTGCCTCTGTGTCTGTACATGTACAGATGCTAGCCAACTTATACTATCAGTAAAATTCTGGGTCACAAGTACTCATCTTAATATTTAAAAAAAAATAAAAAATAAATATTCTTTAAAGAGATTTATTAAAATCTAAATAATAAGATATATAAAAAAGTATATAATTAACTTTTTTTTTTTTTCCTCTTTGGCAGCCTTGCCGTTAACCTTTATTAAGATTTGTATTTACAAATTTGTATATACTTTAACCTAATTTACTAGTTCGACATCCTCTGGCTGCTTCAATAAGTGCCCAGAGGTGGTCTGCTGTACTGGTTGAGGTAATAACCCAGATCTGGGGACTGTACCAGACTAGCCTAAAAGACCATATGAAAATGGTCTTATTTTGCTCTTTATATAACTTTTAATTGAACCAAACCATGTTTCTTTTATCTTATTATTTTCTACCTCTTTTAACTTCTGAATCTCTCTAGCAGCTTGATTTCTTTTTACTCTAATTGGATTCTCTATTTGACTATGCATCTCTTTACTAGGTAATTTCACCTTTCTTTCTGGTTTTCTTCACTTTAATGACCAGTTGATGTTCATCAGCTTTTCCTATTCAATAGTAGCTTTACATCTTCTTTTCCATATGTTTTCGTAAAACTTATTCCATGCTATATTGGTTAGCATATCTAAAAAATCTTTTGTTTCCTTAAGTGACTTTAGTAAAGTTTGTATTTGTTCAATTGTCTTTTCTTGAACTAGACATTTAATTATTTCTATTATTATTTCTTCTTTTTCTTGCTTGTTTACTCACCAAAAAATTTTTTTAAGTTGCCTTTTGCTTGTGATAACTTGTGTTTCACTTGAGATTTTAGTCCATGCAAGATTAATCGATAGGTCTTTTATTTTTTTCCAGTTATTCTTATAGCACTTGCATTATGCCAAATGTTCTAGATTTTCTTCCTCTTCTTCATTGCAAAGTATGCAAAAAGGATTTTTGTAGAGATCTGGTCTATGTTGTGTTAAAGGTTTTAGTAATAGTAATCTATTATTAAGACATTTAATTAGAGTTTCTATTTGTGTATTCTTTTTTTGGCTCGTACATCTGCTTCCACTTTGGTCTTTAATCTTTTTCTATAGGTATGTCCAATTATATACTTTCTTCTTATCATCTGACTCTATCTTTTTAATTGCTAATGAAAAACCCCATTCAGCTCCTGTTTGAAGGTCTAAGATTTCCTTAATAAACTTTTTCGTTGGATCTTCTACAATTTCTTCTTTCCAATAAATTGAGATGCTAGTTCCTTGAGGAGTTTTCTTTATCATTCTATCTAAACTATCTATTTTGGCCTCTTCTTTTGCCAACATATCTGCTCTATTGTTCTATTCATTATCGCTATGGCCTTTAACTTTAACTATATCTATTTCTAAATTTTTTAACTCTATAATGTTTTTAATATTCTCTAATAAATT